ATTTACAGAATCAACGCTATCCCCATCAAGCTACTACCATTGACTTTCTTCACAGAACTGGAAAGAACCACCTTGAACTTCATATGGAACCAAAAGAGAGCCCGCATAGCCAAGTCAATTCTAAGCAAAAAGAACACAGCGGGGGGCAACACACTACTGGATTTCAAAGTATACTACAAGGCTACAGTAATCAAAACAGCATGGTACTGGTACCAAAACAGAGATATAGACCAATGGAGCAGAACAGAGGCATCGGAGGCAACACAACATATCTACAACCATACAATCTTTGTTAAACCTGACAAAAACAAGCAATGGGGAAAGGATTCCCTGTTTAACAAATGGTGTTGGGAAAACTGGCTAGCCATGTGCAGAAAGCAGAAACTGGACCCCTTCCTGACATCTTACACTTAAATTAACTCCAGATGGATTAAAGACTTAAACATAAGACCTGGCACCATAAAAACCCTAGAAGAAAATCTAGGCAAAACCATTCAGGACGTAGGAGTAGGCAAGGACTTCATGAACAAAACACCAAAAGCATTGGCAACAAAAGCCAAAATAGACAAATGGGACCTAATCAAACTCCACAGCTTCTGCACGGAAAAAGAAACAGTCACTAGAGTGGATCGGCAACCAACAGAATGGGAAAAAATTTTTGCAGTTTACTCATCTGACAAAGGGCTGATATCCAGAATTTACAAATAACTCAAACAGATTTACAGGAAAAAAACAAACAAGCCCATTCAAAAGTGGGCAAAGGATATGAACACTTTACAAAAGAAGACATATATGAGGCCAACAATCATATGAAAAAATGCTCATAATCACTGGTCATCAGACAGATGCAAATCAAAACCATATTGAGATACCATCTCACGCCAGTTAGAATGGCAATCATTAAAAAATCTGGAGACAACAGATGCTGGAGAGGATGTGGAGAAAAAGAAACACTTTTACACTGTTGGTGGGAGTGTAAATTAGTTCAACCATTGTGGAAGACAGTATGGCGATTCCTCAAGGCCTTAGAAATAGAAATTCCATTTGACCCAGCAATCCCATTACTGGGTATATATCCAAAGGACTATAAATTGTTCTACTATAAGGACACATGCACACGAATGTTCATTGCAGCACTGTTTACAATAGCAAAGACCTGGAACCAACCCAAATGCCCATGGATGATAGACTGGATTGGGAAAATGTGGCACATATACACCATGGAATATTATGCAGCAATCAGAAATGATGAGTTTGTGTCGTTTGTAGGGACATGGATGAATCTGGAGAACATCATTCTCAGCAAACTGACACGAGAACAGAAAATGAAATACCGCATATTCTCACTCATAGGCGGGTGATGAAAAATGAGAACACATGTACACAGGGAGGGGAGCACTACACACTGGGGGTCTATTGGGGGGAAAAGTGGAGGGCCAGCAGCGGGGGGGGCGCGGGGGCGGGATAGCCTGGGGAGAAATGCCAAATGTGGGTGAAGGGGAGAAAGGAAGCAAAACACACTGCCATGTGTGTACCTATGCAACTGTCTTGCATGTTCTGCACATGTACCCCAAAACCTAAAATGCAATAAAAAATAAAAAAAAAAAGATCCTATTATGTGCCCACACTGTATGTAGTTAAGGCTTTAGTATTGTTATTTCTAATCCTCAGGATGACATCATAAAACAGGTATTCATTCATTCACCAAATATATACTGAGTGCTTACTATGTACCAATTACTGTTCTAAATACCAAAGATCAACATGATAGACAAAGCCCTTGCCCTCATCAGATGGCATTCTAGACAGGAGGTAGACAATAAGGATACAGACAATCTAATAAAACAAGCAAGCTTTTCAAATAGTAGCATTATAGAGACAATTCTAACAGAATATGAAGGCAGAGATGAGGAAAAGGAAAGAAGAAATTAGTTTACAGGCTGATTAGGGAAACCTCTCCGAGAAAAGACCCTTCAGCTGAGACCCAAACACCAAGGAGCCAGATACGTAAGCTCTCAGTAAAGACCTCGAGGACACAGCAGCAAGGACAAATCTCTTTGGATGGGGGAGGCTTGGCAGAACCAATGAGGATGGCATATGATGAATGAGGAGGAGTATGGTACAATATGAAGTCAGAGGGGGACATACAGTAAGGAGGAATAAGGTAAAACCAGCAGGTTATAACAAATAGCTTGGTTCTGAGTGCCAGGAACCACCTAACTCTATGTTTTATTGCAATTGGAATGATGCACATCAAATTCACTCCAGTAGGCTTAACATTAAAAGAGTGAAAATTATATGACTTCTCTATGGATCCTCTTACCCACCTTGCTTTTTTTGAAGTCAAAGCTTTATTTTCATTCAGCTTTCTTCCACCACTTTCTGTATCAAAATAGAAGTTATTTTAAAGGGTTACTTCTATACATTTAACATATAACATTAAGAAGTTCATTCTCTGACTTTCTGCCAAACTAGTAGCCTATATCTAATTTTTAAATCTTCATTTAACAGTCAGGTTATTAAGACGCTGCTTAAAAAGAAAACATTTATTAGAGAAACAATAAAAATTTGTATAAAATACAATCATTTTATTTTTCAGACTCAAGGTAGTACCTTAGGAATGGGTCTATATTTACTTGATATACTGTAAAATCTAGAACCCACTACTTCAGTGTCATAGACCTTGAATGTCTATGTTTCTTTTCTTTCCCTTCGAAAACATACTTTATGTATTTAATGATAATGAAGGTAAATACTTCACTGTAAGTAATTAATGATAATGAAGGTAAAATGGGTTAAAGGATTTATTCAAGAATATAAAAACCAGATTTAAAAAAATTTCTCCTCAGAAGAGCGGAGAAATTAAATGCAGTCTCTAAATAAGCTGAATCAAATCAAATATTATGATACTGTCACCACTTGACAATCATTTAATAATTTTGCTATCTCCTGATGTTAGGAACCTGTACAAGTAACAGAACTAAGTAGAAGATATTAAATAACTTGGGGACCCAGGATTCTTTCATGTTTAATAGACAAAATACTTTGAACACATTTCATTTTACAAATAACGTAAAAGATAAAATATTCACAGGAGTCTCTGGTTAAATTCCTATTTTCTAAAAGAAGAAATACCTGTGGTATTCCTAGCACCATCTTTCCATGTATCTGGAGTGATAACAGTACCAAGTTTCTTTTCACCTGTTATAATAAGATAGTAAAAAGCAATTTAAAATTTAGTATTTCATAAGTGCATCACATTGTGCCTAAGGTTCACAATGGTATCAACAGTCCTATTACTGCAGGAGCCTGTTAATGCTGGGAGAGCAGTCAGTGAACTGAGACTTGTATTAACTGTGGGCAATGAATGACTGATCCACAGTAAAATCCGTAGGATAATAAGATGGCTTATAATAAGCTTTCTCTGTTTGTTTATACTTTAAACAAATCTGGCAAGTCTATTTGTTCCATACATATTTACTAAGCATCTATGATGTATAAACTATACAAATTACTGAAAAAAATAAGTGATGAATCAGACAAAATTTTAAAGAGATTATAGTACAGTAGTTTAACAGCAATCTTTAATCTATGTTCCACAGGTCGATCTTAAGAGATATGTGAACAAGGCAGAATTGTACACAAACCTTTTATATATCTTTTTTTTTTCTTTCCTGGCAAGAGTCTATAGCTTTCTTCAGATTCTCAGAGAGAACCTGAGAATCATTCAACCAAAATATAAGCTAAAAATTAAACGGTGTAATAATTGAGAGCTAAAGTACTAGGTGAAATTCCATGCAGGAAGATATAACCCTGGCTAAGGAAATCCAAGAAAGTTTGGGGAGAAGGCAAGAGAGAGGATTTGAATATGTGGCAATAGGACTGTGAACAAAAAGGAGTAAAGAGGATAAAGGCAGACTGATAAAGGACACATTCTGAGGAAAGGCATGGAAAGCTCCGAGTACACATGGGCACAAAGGGTAGTTACGTTTGGTCAAAGTGTGAAGAGGGTAAGGATCAGTGAAGATGAAGCTGGAAAAATAAGTTGGGGCCTTATTGCGGAGGGTCCTGAACGTCAGGCTCCAAATACAGAATCCCCACATTGTTCTCTGCACACTGAGAATTTATTAAAGGTGTTAAATTAGGGAAATAGTAACTTGCACTTGCGTTGATGTTCAATTCACACATCTTCTGGGCTTACTCTAAGCCATATTCTGGCATAATGACTAACAGGAATGAGTAAGACGAGGTCCTTGGTCTTTGGTTCTAGTGTGTTACATGAATAAAAAGGAAAGGTCAGGAATTGCAAGAGGGAAAGGTGTGATTGGGGTTTAACTGAACATTTTTATACGGGAGGGGAGCTGATGAGATCTGGAGCTGGGGGAAGGCAATGGAAATAGACAAGGAGATGCAGAACTAAGACCATTCTGAAAACAAAATATACTATAGGACTATATGGTCTTTGGGGAGGTGCAAAAATGGTCAAAGGGTAGAGCAGAAGGACAGCGACTAGAATCAAAGATGTGGGCGAAGAAAAAACAAAAGAGAAGGCAGAGTTCCCGGGAGAGTTCATTTAGGTTCCCCCAGTTTCTTCCTCCCGCAGGAGGAGCCCCTTAACTCACATTTTTCGCAGACCATCCTTCCCCACGACGGTTCCCCTAGCCGCAACAGCAGCAGCAGCAGCAGCAACAGCAGCCCGAAAACATCAAAACTAAAACCCGGACGGCTTCCCCTTCCGGGCTACGTCAACCCACTTCCGGCTTCTAAGCACGCCGCTCCGGTCTAGCCCAAACTTGGAAGGCCGCGGGAGGAATGAACGGGAGCGTCTAGGCGGGGCTGCCCCATCTGCCCGCCCCTCTCTTTCTGCTACTGGCTATGCGGCCCTGGATCTCCGCCCCTTAACCCTGCGCTTGCGGGTGGGCCTGGGTAGCACGTCGTACCTGATGGTAGGAGGCAGTAGTTCCCCGCTTCCCTTCCGCGGGTGGGAGAGTTAGGTAAGCCCCAATGTACGCCCCCGGCGATCTCGCCCCCCGGGGTGCAAGCCACCCCCGCGAACTGCCGTAGCAGCCGTGAGCCTTGGCGTCCCGGCCCGCCCGCTCTCGCCCTCAGCTCGAGCGCCACTCTTCCGGCGTGCTCTGATGGACAGACCCCCCCTTTCGGATCCGAGTTTCTGCCTCTGTCCCCCAGTTTTCCCTTGTCTCCAACTCCCGTGCTCTTTGATCCTGCCTCTCTGCTGGTTCCTGGCTGTCGACGCTCGCGCCGGCCTAGGCTCGGGCAGAATCCCGAGCGACCCAGGTTGGGGTGGGGCTGCCAGTGAAGGTGCGGCGATGCCCGCGAGGGCTCCTCTGGGGGCCGCTCGGAAGCGCCGTCTCTCTGCTGCGGTGCCTAGCGAGGTGGGCCAGGTCATACCCGTGGCACCCTTGTAGGTGTCCTGGGGGCACGCCAGGGCCTAACACGGTGTGGGTTTCCCAGGAGAGTTAGTTTCCCACTTTACATACTCTGGTTCCTTCATTCGTTCAGCAAACATTTGAGTTTGGTTCCTGCTTATTGTAGGAGCATCTCCTGTTGGCAGCTGCGATTCCGAGGGTGGCTCAGAAAAATGGATGAAGGGTTTGTTGTGAGGATGGATTCCTGATGATTGCCCTCCCTCAATCAGCTTAAGATAGAATCTATAGGAAACTTTCCCTTTGTCCCTTCTTGCCATCCGTTTCCTTCTCCATCCCTTTATTTCGTTGTACCAGAGAGAGGGCTGTAGCTCTTGAGAACTTGGACCTCCTTACCTGTTTGTCGTGTTTCCTTATCAGTAAAGTATCTGCCTTTGAAAAGCATTGGGTGAATTAAGTGAGAGCAATTTTTTAAATTGCATTTTAGGTTTTGGGGTACATGTGAAGAACATGCAAGATTGTTGCATAGGTACACACGTGGCAGTGTGATTTGCTGCCTTTCTCCCCTTCACCTATTATAAGGTCCAGGTGTTTTGAAACAAATACATTGCCCATAGGAAATTGACTTTATGACTTATTTGTAGGGGTTGAAACATTTTGGACAATGGAAAAAGTCATTATTGCATATGCTCTTCTTGTTTTTTATTAGCTAGCCACCCAGGAAAACACCATGAAAGATACCGATATCAAAAGACTACTGTATACCCATCTTTTATGCATATTTTCAATTATCCTAAGTGTCTTCATTCCATCACTGTGCTTGGAGAACTTCTCATTATTGGAAACACACTTGACATGGTTGTGCACCTGTTCTGGTTTTGTAACTGCTGTCAATCTAGTACTATATTTAGTAGTGAAACCAAATGCATCCTCTAAAAGAAGTTCATTATCACACAAGGTAAGGCTTATTTCTAGATAACTGATTTTTGATGGAGCTAGTATTTCTTTTAATGAAAGAATAAAGTATTCGTCAAATCTTCATTAGGTTATTTATGGTGAGTAAAGGGAACCTGATTTTTTTCCCAAAAAAATTGGTAGCCTGTTACTTGCTAGAAGGCTGCCCACAATGTTTGATTGATCCTTGCCTTGATTAATTGTGGAATTATGACCTCTTCAGTGCATATTATAATATTGTGAGCCTGATTAATCATTGTTTTATGTCACAATTGAAAATAAATATGTATGACAGTCTATCTTTAAACCTTATTCAATTAGACACTGCAGTTTATTTTTATTTATTTTTGCATTTCTGAAAGCCACTTAATGGGTTTTTCAGAAATTGCAATATAAGCTGTGGTAATGCTTGTTTCCCACATGACCTTCCTTGACTAAACAGTTTTCACATATTAGAATTAATTTTCCAGAATATTCACTGCAATAGATACTCACTTGGCAATTACTAATAAAGTCCACACTTAACATTATTTTCTATTTGTTAGCTCTGTTAAGTCATTTACTGCCTATGATTGGAAAAGCTGAATGTATGTGTTATGTTCATACATTCTTAAGCTCCAAATCAAGAAGGTCTCATGTTTATTTATAGATGTTCCGGTCTTTTTTCATATGGGTCATGTAATATGAGTGTGATTTCGAGAATTATTTAGTCCTGCTTTTTTAGTGAGTTTTCCCAGGAATTTTGTTTTAAAATGAAAAAATTGTTGTTTTCTGCAGATATTACCTGTATCATCGCATAGTACTGTATTTTTTGTATCCTAGCTCTCTGATATCAATCAACATTTAACGGCAGGTCCATACATTACCATGGTAACAGAATCTCTTTTTGACTCATGTAGACTTGATGGGTGGAATATGGGGCGGGGGGTGATATTTGCCTTTTAGGCTTTTTTAGTCTGTATTGAGGGCTGTGTATGTGACTGAGTACAGGACATATGATCTGACTTGAGTATACCCAAGAACATTTGAACTGTTTTACACATTATGTGAACAAGTTGTGTTTGTAGATAAAATTGAATAATTTATTGTCCTTTAGGAATTATCTTGAGTCTTCAGGTTATTCATTTCTCTTTTAGGTAACCAGATTTTTGAAGTGCTGTATCTACTTTCTTATGTCTTGTTTCTCCTTTCATGTAATTTTTGTTCTATATGGAGCACCACTAATAGAGTAAGTTTGAAATTTTTACCTTAAATTTATATTTTAAAACATTCATTTACCAAACTGTATGCTAATTCTTAGCAACTAAAGAAAATCCATGATGTGTATCATTAAGGAATCAAGTAAGGACACCAACATCATTAGAAGTGTTATTCTTTTAAACAACAGCAGAATACCTTAATTTATTGAGTACTCTCATTACCTAGCCTTCTATTATCCAATTGCATGTTGGGAGAAGGGAGAGTAGATGAGAAACTATATTGTACCAATAATATTTGGCCCTTAGAACCTCTGAGAGAACTTATTATGATCATATGTGTAGATTAGTTATAATTAGCATATCAAGTTCTTATACATGTGATTCTGAAGTACTTGAATGGAGTTTTTCTTAACAAAAGTCAATAGATTCCTGTATTCAAATACTTAATATGCCAGTATTTATAGTTTAAAGGTAAAATTTAACACTTTTTCTGAACTAATTTCAAATTAGTAGAAACCAAATTCATGAATGATTCTTACATAATGTTTATCATAGTTTGAGAAGCTTCAGTTTAGCAGTGATTAATGATCATGGTGAAATGAGTGATGAGATATATATACATATATACACATATATGTGTTGCTAAGTTTTATATATATATTTATACATAGTTTTACATATACACATTAAACTAACAGGTCATTGTGTTTTAGATGGGAGAGAACAAGAACTTTGTAATGGAAAAGGGTGGTTTCTGTCTAATCCATTTTAAAGTAGGATGAATGTATCTGGCACAGTAATTCTCAAAATGTGGTTTGCAAGCCAGCAGCATCAGCATTTTATCAAAATGCAAATACTCAAGCCTTCAGTCAGAAATTCTAGGGGTAGAGCCCCTTGATCTTTAGTTTATCCAGCTCTCCAGCTGGTTCCAATATATGTTAACACAGAACCACTAGTTGTAGAGAAAGTTCCAGAGACTATTGAGGAGAAAGCCAACTGTCTAGAAATGGATTTTGTTTGTTTTTGCAATGGAAGTCTCAGCATGGATCCTAGGGTCTTTAACACTTCTGAAATCTATGATTAAGGTCAAACATTTGCTAAATAGTTTTTTAAAGCTGCATGTTGGTAGTAAAATTATTTATAGTCATCATTTTGGTGGCACTCATGTTACATTTCAAAGGTAAAGCATAAGAAGATATTTTAAATTTTATTTATATAATAAAGATTATGTATGTGTATGTTTACCATTAACACTTAAAAAATTAACACATCTTTTTTTTTTCTAGGTTGGCATTGGAAACATTTTTATTTGCAGTTATTTTGTCTACTTTTACTACCGTACCTTGCTTATGTTTGTTAGGACCAAATCTCAAAGCATGGCTAAGAGTTTTCAGTAGAAATGGGTAAGTTTTAATTTTATATTATAATAATATTTGAAATTAAAAAAAATTAATGAAGTATTTATTTATTTGTCAGTTTGCTGATTATTTTCAGTGTTTCTCAGTGCTGATGGTGCTCAGAGTTACCTTAAGGGGTCACTGCAGTTGGACTGGGGACAGGGCAGGCAGAACGAGGAGCCCCTCCCGCCAGGTTAACAAGATCGGCTCTGCTTTTTTCTGTATAGTAGAATTCCACTTAGCCTTTTGTTTGTTTTTTTGTTAAAAATATATATTTTTTTTAATTTCTGCTACCAAAAGAAAGCTTTGAAAACTGTGGTTCTGGGATAATTTGGCACTGTGATAAAATTGCTGCGAATAAAATTTCTTACCTACATTTTATAATGTAGAAGTGGGGTCCACAATCTAAAAATGTGTAACAATGATAATTTCTTGTTTAGCCTTTTTCATGGTAAGAGAGAGCAAGTTTTATGGGATTTCATTTCCTTGGTAGGTCTGTATATGTTTTCAGCATGGTTAAGTTAAAACTTAAGTTTCTTGAAAGTCATTGAAATGATATGCACGAGAAACAGTGAAGCTCTAGCTAAGAAAGCCAGAAGGTTATTTGATTCTGTCCTATTTATCACCCAGCAGCAAAAACGTTTTCAGCACTTACTCTGTGCTCTGTGTTATGCTAAGCTGTGTGGATTCTGAAGTATAAGGAGGATTCTTTTGCTGAGGAGCTTATATATTCAAGGGATAAAAATGAAATGAACAAATAATATAGATTACAATTGTGTAAATTCAGCAATAAGTGCTGTAGGAACTTAGAGGTGAGAGAATTGCTTGTGAACCTGGGAGGCAGAGGTTGCAGTAAGCCGAGATCACACCACTGTACTCCAGCCTGGTCTACATAGTGAGACTTTGTCTCAAAAAGGAAAAAAAGGAATTAGTACTGTTTGTTCTCTCTTGGAAAGATCTTCTAATATTCATAAAGTCTGTAGAAAACAAAAGTTTAACAACTGAAAGCATTTTCTACATTGTTACCATAATTTCCCAAATGAAAATTAATTTCTTTTAAACTTTTAGTTTGAAATTTTTAAACAGTGAAATAGATTGAAATCTACTTCGGAGAGATCCAAGATGGCCAATCAGCAGCAGCTCAGGATTGTAGCTCCCAGTGAAAGCGCAGAGAGTGAGTGGATGCCACACTTCCAGACGAATTTTTGTTGCCCACGGACCAGGAGATTCCCAGCGGAGGACCCCACGGGTCACCAGTGCAACTCTTGTGGCCGGTGCGGCTGTTCTCAGTACGGAGTATATGGGACTGGGTGCCCCTTTAGTTGGTGTTTGGGGCTCCATTCAGCTGATTGAAATCACCCATTCAGCTGATTGAAACAGGGACTGAAGTGGGGAGCCAGACCGGGAGATCCTGGGCAGGAAAGTGCCACGAATCTCAACGCTGCTGTTTCAGCCGGTGCAATGGGTTGCTGCAGGGGAAATTACACAGATTCCGGCGGCTTTACAGCGGGCAACTGGAACACCTGGGAGAGAGTCGATTGTTCTACTTAAAAAAAAAAAAAAAAAAAAGAAGAGGCTCTGAGACAGGGAGCCAGGTGATTGAGCTCGGCTGGTTCCACCCCCACAAAAAGCAACAGTTGGAAGCGCTGAAGATTGAGTTTCACAGCAAGCACAGCTGAACCCAGGAAGGTCCAGCTCTGTGGGGAAGGGGCGTCCGCCAAAGGAAAACTAAGAAACAGAAAAAACTTCTTCACCAGCAAGCTGGACATCCACTCAGAGACCCAATTTGAAAGTCAGCAATTACAAAGACTACAAGTGGGTAAATCCACAAAGATGGGAAGAAACCAGTGCAAAAAGGCTGAAAAGACCTGAAATCAGAATATCTCTCCTCCTACAGGGGATTGCAGCTCCTCATGAGCAGTGGAACAAGGCCTGATGGAGAATGAGTGTGATGAATTGTCAGAATCAGGCTTCAGAAGGTGGATAATAAGAAACTTCTGTGAGCTAAAAGAACATGTTCTAACCCAATGCAAAGAAACTAAGAACCTTGAGAAAAGGTTTGATGAAATGCTAACAAGAATAGACAATTTAGAGAGGAATATAAGTGAATTAATAGAGCTGGAAAACACAATATGAGAACTTTGCGAAGTATGCACAAATTTTAACAGTCGAATTGATCAAGCAGAAGAAAGGATGTTAGAGGTCGAAGACCAACTTAATGAAATAAAACGAGAAGACAAGATTAGAGGGAAAAGGCTAAAAAGGAATGAGCAAAGTCTCCAAGAAATGTGGGACTATGTGAAGAGACCTAATCTACATTTGATAGGTGTACCTGAATGTGACGAAGAGAATTAATTCAAGCTGGAAAATACTCTTCAGGATATTATTCAGGAAAACTTTCCCAACCTAGCAAGGCAGGACAATACTCAACTCCAGGTAATACAGAGAACACCACAAAGATATTCCTCAAGAAGAGCAACCCCAAGACACATAATCATTAGTTGAAATGAAGGGGAAAATACTAAGGGCAGCCAGAGAAAAAGGTCAGGTTACCCACAAAGGGAAGCCTATCAGACTCAGAGCAGATCTCTCAGCAGAAACCCTACAAGCCAGAAGAGAGTGGGGACCAATATTCTGCATCCTTAAAGAAAAGAACTCTCTACCCAGAATTTTATATCCAGCCATACTAAGCTTCATAAGTGAAGGAAAAATAAAATTTTTTGTGAACAGGCAAGTACTCAGAGATTTTATCACCACCGGGCCTGCTTTACAAGAGCTTCTGAAAGAAGCATTACACATAGAAAAGAACAACTAGTATCAGCCATTCCAAAAACATACCAAAAGGTAAAGAGCATCACCGTAATGAAGAATTTACATCAACTAATGGGCAAAACAGCTAACTGGCATTAAATGGCAGTATTAAACTCATATATATCAATATCAATCCCAAATTTAAACGGACTAAATGCCCCAATCAAAAGACACAGACAGGCAAATTGGATAAAAAGCCAAAACCCATAGGTATGCTGCATCCAGACCCATCTCACGTGCAAGGATACACAAAGACTCAAAGGGATGGAGGAAGATTTACTAACCAAATGGAGAGCAAAAAAAAAAAGCAGGGTTTGCAATTCTTGTCTTTGATAAAATAGACTTTAAAGCAACAAAGATCAAAAGAGACAAAGAAGGACATTACATAATGGTAAAAGGATCAATGCAACAAGAAGAGCTAATGATCCTAAATATATACGTACCCAATACAGGAGCACCCAGATACATAAGGCAAGTTCTTAATGACTTACAAAGAGACTTAGCCTCTCAAATAATAGTAGTGGGAGACTTTAACACTACATTGTCAATATTAGACAGATCAACGAGACAGAAAATTAACAAGGATATCCAGGACTTGAACTCAGACCTGGAATAAGTAAACTTAATTAACAGAACTCTCCACCCCAAATCCACAAAACATACATTTATCTCAGTATCACATCACACCTATTCTAAAAGTGACCATAAAATTGGAAATAAATCACTCCTCAGCAATTGCATAGCATTTCACAGGTTTAAATGAAATATTGGTTGGCTGCTTGTTTGTTATTTTCTTCCCTTATTCCTTCCTGTCTCCATTGTTAAGCACATTTATTGGCATAAAAGAGGTTTTTAATACCCATTTTTAGACTGCATTCTAGCCTGGGCAATAGAGCAAGATTCCTGTTCTCTCTCCCTCTTTCTCTTCCTCTTTCTCTCTTTTGTTCTTTTTCTTTCTTTCTCTTTTCTTCTTTTCTTTATTTTTCTTCCTTTCTTTCTTTTTTCTCTTTCTTAAATTAAAAATAAAAATACTCCACTAGACTCTATTAACTTCCACTGTTTTTTGGGTGGGGTGGAGCAGGGAAGCTCAAAAACCAAAAAAAAAAAAAAAAAAATGAGTTGCAATTGTATTAGTTTGGATTAGTGATTTCTCTAATTTTCTCTTCCTCCCTCCCTCCCTCCCTCCCTCCCTCCCTCCCTCCCTCCCTCCCTCCTTCCTTCCTTCCTTCCTTCCTTCCCTTTCTTTCTTGGAATTTCATTCTTGTTACCCAGGCTGGAGTGCAATGGTGCGATCTTGGCTCACCGCAACCTCTGCCTCCTGGATTCAGGCAATTCTCCTGCCTCAGCCTCCTGAGTAGGTGGGATTACAGGCACGTGCCAGCATGCCCAGCTAATTTTTTGTATTTTTTTAGTAGAGACGGGGTTTCACCATGTTGACCAGGATGGTCTCGATCTCTTGACCTCGTGATCCACCCGCCTTGGCCTCCCAAAGTGCTGGGATTACAGGCATGAGCCACTGCGCCTGGCTCCAATTTCTCTCTCTCTCTCTCTCTCTCTCGCTCTCTCTCGCTCTCTCGCTCTCGCCTCCCTGAGATATAAAATATCAAATTTAGGCCAGTTGATAACACTACTATTAGGGTTATTACTATTTAGGCCCTTAAGTGTTCAAGTGAAACAAAAAATTTATGTCTCTCACTTTAAGTCAAAAGCTAGAAATGATTAAGCTTAGTGAAGAAGTTAGGTTTTCAAAAACTGAGATAGGCTAAAAGTGAAGCCCCTGTGCCAAATAGCCAAGTTGTGAATGCAAAGGAAAAGTTCTTAAAGGAAATTTAAAGTTTACTCCAGTGAACACATGAGTGAAAAGAAAGTGGAACAGCCTTATTGCTGATGGGGAGAAAGTTTTAGTGGTCCAGACAGAAGATCAAACCAGGTGTAACATTCTAAGCCAAATCCTAATCCAGAGTAGGGCTCTAACTCAGAGAGAATTCTCTGAAGGCTGAGAGAGGTAAGAAAGTTACAGAAAAGTTTGAAGCTAGCAGTGGTTGATTCACGGGGTTTAAGGAAAGAAGACATCTTCATCACATAAAAGTGCAAGGTGAAACAACAAGTGCTGAAGTAGAAGCTGCAGTAAGTTGTCTAGAAGATCTAGCTAAGACCATTGGTGAAGGTGGCTAAACAACAGATTTTTAATGTAGACAAAACAGCCTTCTATTGAAAGAAGATGCCTCCCAGCACTTTGGGAGGCTGAGGCAGGTGGATCACGAGGTCAAGAGATGGAGACCATCCTGGTCAACATGGTGAAACCCTGTCTCTACTAAAAATAAAAAAAATTAGCTGGGCATGGTGACGCATGCCTGTAATCCCACCTACTCAGGAGGCTGAGACAGGAGAATTGCCTGAACCCAGGAGGCGGAGGTTGCAGTAAGCTGAGATTGTGCCATTGCACTCTAGCTTGGGTAACAAGAGCAAAACTCCATCTCAAAAAAAAAAAAAAAAAGAAGATGCCATCTAGGACTTTTATAGTTAGAGAGGAGAAATCAGTGACCAGCTTTAATGCTTGACAGGCTGACTCTCTTGTTAGGGACCAGTGCAGCTAGAGACTTAAGTTGAAAATGCTAATTTGCCATTTTCTAAATGGTAAGAATTTACACATTTAGAGTTATGCTATATCTACTTTGCCTATATACTGTTAATGGAACAACAAAGTCTGGATGACAGCACGCCTGTTTATAACATGGTTTCTTGAATATTTTAAGCTCACTGTTGAGACCTACTGCTCAGAAAAAAAAATCCTTTCAAAATATTGCTGCTTATTGACAATGTGCCTAGTCACCCAAGAGCTCTGATGGAGATGTACAAGGAAATTAATGTTTTTTTTCATGACTACAACACAGGATCCATTCTGCAGCCCATGGATCAAGGAGTAATTTTGATTTTTCAAGTCTTATTACTCAAGAAACACATTTTGTAAGGCTATAGCTGCCATAGATAGTGATTCCTCTGATGGATTTAGGAAAAGTAAATTGAAAATTTTCTGAAAAGGATTCACAATTCTAGATGGATGCCATTAAGGACATTCATGATTCATGGGAGGAGATCATAATATCAACATTAATGAGAAGCTGATTCCAGTCCTCCTGAATGATGTTGAGAGGTTTAAGACTTCAATGGAGGAAACCACTGCAGATGTGGTAGAGATAACCAGAGAACTAGAATTAGAACTGAAGCCTGAAGATGTGACTGAATTGCTGCAACATTATGATAAAACTTTAACAGATGAGGAATTACTTCTTTTGTATGAGAGATAAAATGGTCTTCTGAGATGAAATCTACTGAAAATACCATGAATATTGTTGAAACGATAACAAAAGATTTAAGATATTACATAAACTTAGTTAATAAAGCAAAGCAATGGCAGGGTTTGAGAGAGTTGACTCCAGTTTTGAAAGAAGGTCTGCTATGGGTAAAATGCTATCAAACAGCCTGGCATGCTACAGAGATATCTTTTTGTAGAAGGAAGAGTCAATTGATGCAACCAACTTCATGGTTGAAATTTCATTTTAAGAAATTGCTGGCTGGGTGCAGGTGGCTCTTGCTTGTAATCCCTGTGTTTTGGGAGGCTGAGACAGGCAGATCACTTGAGGTCAGGAGTTGGAGACCAGCCTGGCCAACATGGTGAAACTTTGTCTTTATTAAAAATACAATAAAAATTACTTGGGCCTGGTGGTAGGTGCCTGTAATCCCAGCTACTTGGGAGACTGAGGCACGAGAATTGCTTGAATCCAGGAGGCGGATGTTGCAGTGAGCCAAGATCACTCCAGTGTAATGCAGCCTGAGTGATAGAGCAAGACTCAGTCTAAAAAAAAGAAATTGCCACAGACTCCCCAACCACCCACCCTGATCAGTCAGCAGCCATCAACATCAAGGCAACACCTTTCACCAGCAAAAAGATTACAATTTGCTGAAGGCTCATATAATCAATAACACTTTTTAGCAATAAAGTAGTTTTAAATTATGTACATTTTAAAAACAATACTAAAAGTGAAAAAAAAAATAAAAAACATAATGCTATTGCCCGCTTAATAGACTACTATATAATACAAATAACTTATATGCACTGGGAAACCAGAAAATTTACATGACTCACTTTATTGTACAATTTGCTTTATTCTGGTGGTCTGGAACCAAATCTGCCATATCTACAAGGTATACCTGCACCCAAATATTACAATAATTATGGCACTTTTCCTTGGAAAGGTTTCCTTGGCAAAGATTTGCTTCTGGAAGTAGACATGAGAAGGGTTGCCTGTTGTGAGTTACTGTGAAGTGGGGAGATGGTTGTTGGAAATCTGAGGGAAAATGAATGGCTCATGACACATAGTAAACTGAGGTAGCTGGGAGTGGATATTTTTAAAAACAGTATTGAGATATAATTTACATACACATCACCTATTTAAAATATACATTTCAGTGGTTTTTTCCAACCACTAATCTACTTACTATTTCTATAGATTTGCCTATCCTGGAAATATAAATGGGGTCTTAGAATATGTGATTTTTTGTGACTGCCTTCTTTTACTTAGCATAATGTTTTCACGGTTCACCTCTGTTGTAGCATGCCTCAGTACTTCATCCTTTTTGTGGCTGAATAATATTCCACTGTATGGATATATACCAAATTTTGTTTACCCATTTATCAGTTGATGGGCATCTGGGTTCTTTCCACATTTTGGCTGTTTTGAGTAAGCTGCATCAAGCATCTGTGTACAGGTTTTTTTTTTTTTTTTTTTTTTTTTTTTTAATGAAGATGGGTTTCACCATGTTGGTCAGGCTGGTCTTGAACTCCCGACCTTAGGTAATCCGCCCGCCTTGGCCTCCAAAGTGCTTAGATTACAGGCGTGAGCCACCATGCCTGGCCTGTGTGTCGGTTTTTGTATGGACATACATGTTTATTTCTCTTGGGTATGCCTAGTAGAGTGGGATTCCTGGGTCACATGGTAGTGTTAAGGGTTTGAGAAGCAAGCACCAGTTTTTAAACTCTATAAAGCGCAGTTTGGTAGCATCTGTAAAAATTACAAGTATACTTCTTTGTCCTAGCAATTATACTTCTTAGATTTTATCCAGTAGATATTATACTTGCACACTAACAAAATGTTGAATATATAAGATTACTTATTTCAACACTGAAAACAACCTGCATATCCTTTAGTAAGGGATAGGGTTAGGATAAATTTAACCCACCCTGTGAAGTACCATGCATTTGTAAAAACTAAACACATGGAAATAGAACCTCCCCCCCCAAACAAAATTCTTTATTTACTGATATGTTAGTGGAAAAAAGCAAGGTGAAAAAATGTGTACAATATGCCATTTATGTAAAGAGTTGTCAGAGGGCGTACCTGTATATTCTGGAAGGAACTAAGAATACCAGTTTTCTCTTGTGAGGGGATCTGAGGAGCCAGAGGGCAAGGTAAGGAGACTTTCCACTGAGTATCTTTTGCTATCTTTTGAAATTTGAACCACATTAATGTACTACATAGTCATAATGAAAGTTACAGTGAATTAGATTTTGCCAGTACTTGTTGGTTATGGAAAGTAGGCCTATATCAGGAAGTTGCTAGATTTCTCTGATGTCACCTAGACTTCAGTAGACTACAAAAGTTGTCCTTCTAAAATTTCCAGCATACTGGGGAACAGCTTAGTTGCCAGAGGACAATGGCTAAATATTATCAGTTTGTAATATAGAACATTATATACAATACACATAGCACATGACATGCAATAGTAATAAAGCAAAAATGTTTTAATAACTTTTAAAGCATTTTCGTTATAGTGTTTCTCAAAGCAATCTAGTGAGATACTCATTTTCACCGTTTTCTAGATGAAGAACCTAGAAAGCTGGCAAATTAAGTGATTTGTCCAAGTTCTGTAGCCAGGAAGTAGTAGAGCTGGGATTTGACCAGATCATTAGATGGTGTAGCAGTTAGACAATTCCAGTAATTGAGGGTCAGAAAACAGGTTCTTGCCCTGTCTTCACTACTTAGTGCCCAAGTGATCTCAGACAAGCTACTTAACTTCACATATCCTTATATGTAATATGATTAGAATAAAACTAATATGTACTTTGTAGGACTCTATTAGAACTGAGTGAAATCAAATAGTACATATTCAAGAAATGTTTGTGAATGGATTAAAAAATGTCAGGGAGCATTTTTATATATCATACTTCCAATCCTTACTGCGGTTTGTCTCAGCATTTCTTCCTAGTTTAGGCAACAGACCAAGGAGTGCAGCCCATAGATAACTGTGGAGGAGGGCTGGTGTTTTCATTTAATTTAATGTGAAGTTAATTTGAACTTTGTCATAAGAGAAGAATTTAAGTCTTTATGTTTCTACCATATATTAGAGTTAGTTCACTTTCTTCTTAGTACTTTTATGATACTTCCAAAATGTACTATAGAAAGCATGTCAAATTTTGAATAAGCTAGGAAATAATTAGATTAATTTGTTGAACATTAAGAGTTGGCCTTCTTGAATGTTCACTTTTAAGCAAAAATATTTAAAAATTCAAAGATCTGATGGTTTTGTAGTGCTAATATAAAATATTCACAAAAAATTACTAGTTAGACTGAAATTGCCCCAATATGTAGTTAGCATTATTCATATTGAATCACAATTTTATTTTTTTAATTTTTACTTTTTTGTGTGTGCATAGTAGATATATGCATTTCTCGGGTACATGAGGTATTTTGATACAGACACCATGCATAATCACATCAGAGTATTCACGTCAAGCATTTATCTTTTGTACGTATGGTTGTACAAGCAAGCCAATTATACTCAGTTATTTTTAAATGCATAGTTAAATTACTGACTATAGTCACCCTGTTTTGCCATCAAATATTAGATCTTATTCATTCTAACTTTTTTTTGTGTCCATTAATCACATTCTCTGCACCCCTACTCCCACTACTATGCTTCCCAGCCTGTGGTAACCATCTTTCTATTCTCTGTCTCCAAGAGTTCAATTGTTTTAATTTTTAGCTCCCACAAATAAGTGAGAAAGTGCCAAGTTTGCCTTTCTGTGGCTGGCTTATTTCATTTAACATAATGACCTCCAGTTCTGTTCACATTGTTGCAAATGTCAGGATCTCATTATTTTTTAATGACCGAGTAGTACTCCATTACTCCATTGTATGTATGTACCACATTTTCTTTATCCATTTGTCTGTTGATGGACACTTAGGTTGCTTTCAAATCTTGGCTATTGTGATTAGTGATGCAATAAACATGGGAATCCAGCTATCTCTTCAATATACTGATTTGTTTCTTTTGGGTATATAACTAGCAGTGGAATTGCTGGATCATATGGTAGGTCTGTTTTTGTTTTTTTTGAGAACTGATCTCCATAGCGTTGTACTAATTTACCTTCCCACCAACAGTATATGAGAGTTCCCTTTCTCCACATCCTCGCCAGCATTTGTTATTGCCTGCCTTTTGGATAAAAGCCATTTTAACTAGGGCGAGATGATATCTCATTGTAGTATTGATTTGCATTTCCTCTGATGACCAGTGATATTGGGCACCTTTTCATATACCTGTTTACTTACCACTTGTATGTATTTTTTTGAAAAATGTCTATTCAGATCTTTTGCCCATTTTTTAATCGAATTGTTAGTTTTTTTTCCCTGTATGTAGTCTGGTTATTAACCCTTTGTTGATAGATAGTTTGCAGATATTTTCTCCCATGGTTTTCTCTTCACTTTCTTCATTGTTTCTTTTGCTGTGCAGAAGCTTTTTAACTTGATGTGATTCCATTTGTCTATTTTTGCTTTGGTTGCCTGTGCTTGTGGGGCATTATTCAAGAAATCTTAACCCAATCCAGTGTCCTGGAAAGTTTCCCCAATGTTTTCTTTTAGTAGTTTCATAGTTTGTGGTCTTAGATTTAAGTCTTTAATCCATTTTGGTTTGATTTGTGTATATGGTGAGAGTTGGGGGTCTAGTTTTCATTCTTCTGCATATGGATATCCAGTTTTCCTACCACCACTTATGGAAGAAACTGCTCTTTCCCCAGGGCATGTTCTTGGCATCTCTGATGAAGTGAGTTCGCTGTAGATGTATGGGTTTACTTCTGGGTTCTTTGTTTCATTGGTCTGTATATCTGTTTTTATACCAGAACCATGCTGTTTTGGTTATAATAGCTGTGTAGTGTAATTTAAATCAATTAATGGATTCCTTCAGTTTTGTTCTTTTTGCTCAGGGTACCTTGGCCTATTCTGGCTTTTTTGTGGTTCCATGTAAATTTTAGGATTGTTTCTTCCATTTATGTGAAGAATATTATTGCTATTTTGATAGGGATTGCATTGAATCTTTGGATTCCTTTGGGTAGTATGAATATTTTAACAATATTGATTCTTCCAATTCATGAACGCGAAGTATCATTCCATTTTTATGTGTCTTCTTTAATTTCTTTCATCAGTGTTTTATAGTTTTCATTGTAGAGATCTTTCACTTATTTGGTGAAGTTAATTCCTAGGTATTTAATTTTATTTGTAGCTATTGTAAATGGGATTTTTAAAAATTTCTTTTTCAGATCATTTACTGTTGGCATATAGAAATGCTAATGATTTTTGTATGTTGATTTTGTATCCTGCAGCTTTACTCAGTTTGTTTATCACTTCTAATAGTTTTTGGTAGTCATTAGGTTTTTCCAAATATAAGATCATATCATCTACAAACAAGGATAATTTGACTTCTTTCCTTCTAATTTGGATGCACTTTATTTTTCCCTCTCATCTGATTGTTCTAGCTAGAACTTCCTGAGTCACAATTTTAATTTCAAAGAATTCTATTATTATTTGAGGAGGTTGTACAAAGTACATCAATAGTACTTGCTTTTTTTAATTCAGTTATAATTTAGAACAGAAATTTAAGTTTCAATTTGAAGTTCTTATGCTGTAGTTCTAATTAATAAAAAGTATTTAAAATACCTTGAAGTATCAACTGAAAATTTTAGAGCTTTAAATATTTTTATCATTCATCCTGTGTAATATGTAAAACACAGTAGAGTTTTGTATTTTTTTAAGTTAAAGATAGCCCTTTTAGTATTGAAATATGACTAATTCAGATGTTCAGTGTGAACAGGCTAAGTTGAGTTGGCATGTCATCTCAATTAGTGTTGAATCAATATAAATGTTTTATAATACTTTTAAGTGAAATAACTTTATATGCTAGTTTTTAATGTATTTATTTACATGTTTATAGAAAACTTGTTTTGAACAGATGGTAATCATATGAAGACTGAGAACACTAAAGCTTTGAACTTGTGAACTGTGTAGGAATTACATCCTACAAGTTAAGGATCAATTCTGATGCTATAGAGATTTTACACATAATTTAAAGACACTACTTTAACAGGATTTCTCTTTATAGTAAATTTAAAGTTACTCCAGGAAAACAAACTAAAAGAATGTTATCATAAAGAAAC